TTATATAATTAATAAAATGAGAAAGATTCTGCATTCACAAGGCTTAAAAAAAGCACTAAGATTGTCTGAAGACATTACATTACAAAAAGCCTTAAAAAATTTTAAAACTGTTCCTGAAGTTTTTACAATGCTGCAGTACAAGAAAGGCCCTAGAACTCGTTGATGGTTGAGGATACTGTTTGTGTTACCATCATCTTTAACACTGAGCCGTATGACATCACGGTCTTCATTGGCTCGGCAGCTAGTTGGGACGGCATTTCTTATAAATTTCTAAAGAAGCACAAATACCTTACTTTCCCACCACTCAAATATATTTGCATCTTAGCTTTAAATCCAGGCATTCCGTGACCTATTCAAAAAGTCACACCCGATTTTTAAACACCGTGATCAAAGCCATGTGCAGGACTAGAAAATTGTTAACTCTTGTTACACTTGTTACATATTACGAAACATACAACTTGCTATCTACTAATCAATTTGGTTTTAGGAAAAAAAAATGTCAACAAATGATGCTAAACATAATCTAGTCGATCACGTAGTTAAAAAATTCGATAATAGTCTAAAGTGTGTTGCAAGTCAAATTGTCAAAATTGCAGCTTTTACACTAGCTCCGTGTGCCAACAGAATACGGAGTCCCTCAGGGAAGTACACTTGACCCGATATTGTTTCTAGTCTATATAAATGGCCACTGCAACCTTACCTTCCATAAAGGTTGAGCGTGCTCAAAGAGCCGTACTCAAGGTCCGCTGTTATTAACCCCGTCTCTTTCCAACACACCAACTATACTAGTATTGCCAAGTTCCCAGCGTTAGGCAACTATTTATTCTTGCTACTGCAATGAAATGATGCCATAAAACCTTATAAACCAGAATCCTACCACTCGCAATCACCTTGTAGCTACTTTTACTGCAGTTAGAACATCGTTTAGCCGTAGATTCTTTGTCTTCCTTGGGCCATACTGATACAACAAACTTCAAAAATTATTATCAATACATAATTTAAATAGTTGTATATATAAAACTACGCCACTAAAATGGCTTATTTCGCAAACCTACTCAGAAATCGAAGCCCTCTTATACTACCTTCATTAACATATTGTTACAAGCTAGGGGTTCGGGATTGGAGTGAAACGCCGGTCGTTTTAATGTTAAAGACATGCACAGCGGCCCTCTCAATACCGCTCTAGTACTTCTATTACTACCGGTGAGAAAGTGGCAAATTAGCTGGCGGTTAATCTGATGTTAAGTGATAACCGCCGCCCATGGACAGGTAACACCCGTGGGGTTGCAAATGCGTTGCCACCTATAAATAAAGTGGGCCCCGGCTACCTCACTCACCAGACGAAACGCAGAAGTGTAACACTACTTTACGCCGGTCTTCTGTGAGGTCGTGGTACTAACCCGGACGGACCTGCCCATTCGTGCAACAGCGAACACTGTTGCGTGGCCCTACCACGAAGTTACACTTCTTTAAGTGTCCTCCCACAGTAACTTTTCCACACTTTTCTCTTCCCCATCCTTCTTCTTCGAGTGCCTGTGACCACTTCGGACGTCATGTTATACAGTCTGCTATTTTCGAGTACGGAGCGGCCCTTGCGTATTCTGTGGACGGTTGCGCACCGCGTAATGTGGTTCAGGTCCTCCCGCCACAAGTCATTCCTCCCTCGAAGTCATTGGTCAGCTGTTGGCTATCGCCGTTGCCGTTGTCCAATTCAGCCTCAATCTCGACGTTGTCTCTTGTCATAGCTGATGTGCGGTTCACGGGAGACGCCTCCTATGTATTACAAATAAGAAACTAAATATTATACAAAGTTTAAATGAAATAATTGTAGAATTTGTATTTATGTCTATGATAATAAAAGCCTTTTATTAAACTTTATCTAATTTAACTTTATTTAACCAATTTCTGTAAAGTTGCATATAGTAAATTATTTTTTGAAAAATAACGTCATAAAAAAGTTTCACTTCTTACGAGTGTACGCTAGTACACGCACACATTTTTTTTGGTAAATCGTGAATTTTGGAAATAAAAAAAATAAAGAAAGCAAATATGTGGTATAGAAAAAAAAGTGTGTAAATGATCGTGACACGAACCGCGCCGCGCGGCCTTCTGTTTCGGGGCCGACTGATTACCGACCGAGCTATTATAACATTTCATTTCCGGCGAAATTTACCGTCATATTCGAATGATATTTTTCATTCCCTGAAAACAGGGATAAAAGGACATTTTCTAAAAATTAAACCTTGCTAGATGGATTTTTCGCCCCCGAATCTACGCACATACTAAATTTCATGAAAATCGCTGGAGCCGTTTGCGAGATTCCGATTATATATACAAGAATTGCTCGTTTAAAGGTATTAGATTCTTTGAGGTAGATAGACATGAAGACTTGGAATACCTTTATTTGATTGAACTCACTTTTTGTAGTAGAACCATGTAACAGTGTTCACTGTTCCACGAATCGGCAGGTTCGTCCGGGTAAGCACCACCACCTCACAGAAGACCGGCGTAAAGTAGAAATATTACACTTCTGCGTTTCGTCTGGTGAGTGAGGTAGGCGGGGCCCACTTTATTTAACGGTGGCAACGCATTTGCAACCCTACGGGTGTTGCAAATTTCATGGGCGGCCTTTATCGCTTAACATCAGGTATACCGCCAGCTCTGTTGCCTCTTTCGCGCATAAAAAAAATCATTAAAGAAATTAGGAACAACTTGCTTAGCAAGAATTTAATAGCTTTTATAAAAGGGCATAAAAATATAAAAAAATATTAGCCATTCTGTTGCGGCTCATATGGGATACTTGGCAAGTAAGTTGTGTCAGTTTGCTGTTAGCCCCGAGGTTGTTATATTATTAACATAATAAAACATTAGGCAGTATGTATAAGATTCCATTGCCTAGATTCCCTTATTAAAGTTCCAATATACATTTTATTTTTAAAGAGAAATAATTTAGAATAAAACTTATGAAAATTAAAAAAAAATATGTTAAAGTGGAAATCCTCTTCTACGTGCACTAACACCAAGTCAGTCTTGCCAACTTAGGGCTTTTAGCCACTTTAGGGCGGAAATATGTATATTGGGCTTTTTTTAGAGCCTTGAATAATAAATATTTCATGCGTTATTATTTTGACTGACCACAGTGAGTGAAAAAAACAAAAACGCCCGGTTTCTGAAACACTGATCTTCGTAGAAGTTAACTAATCAGCTGTCAAATGACCAAAAGGATGGTTAATCATTCTGATCAATTCAAAGAGTTTAACCATCCTTTTGGCAACTTAAATAACATTTGAAAAGTCATTTGTCAGCTGATTAAAATAGTTAATTTCTAAGATGATCAGTGTTTCAAAAACCAGGCGTCAGTTACAATGTTGTGAATTTTCCTTGTTTCGTCAATGTGGTTAACGATCTTGCATTTCTGTATTAAGACGTATTTCGAATATTTGACATCACTGGAGTAATTATCGACGAGATATGATTGTGGCAAAATTATCGGAGAAAATTTATGTCACGACGCCTATCTCCGCTGTTATCTAAAACACGTAATAAACTGATAACAATAGAAATTTTGCAATAAATTAAGGTGAAGTATGTTTTGTGAGTACGTTTGTGTTTTCAATAATCCCCATACGATATTTAGTTTTGGTGCAGTAAAAAAGGCGGGCTGGCGTTTCACCAGATGTTAATTGATAACCGCCGCCTATGGACATTGTAACAACTATGAACTCGCTGATGCGTTGTCACCTTCTAAAAAGTGCGTCCCGGTGACCTTACTCACCAAACACCGAAAAATATTATTTCCACTTCACAGTGGTCTTCTGTGAGGCCGTGGTACTTCTTGAGTCTGCCCGTTCGTGCAACAGCAGTTTCTTTTCTTTTTTTTCTTTTGTTTCTTTTTTTTTAAACATGGCCCTTACTTTATCGTTCTTAAAATACAGGATAACATTATCCTGTATTTTAAGAACGTTTTACAAACATAAATTTCACGCAGACAAATATCCAAATGCGAAACAACTATCTGTGGGTCACACAGACAGTTGTTCCGTGTGGGAATCGAACCCACGACCCTCGACGTCGAAGCCAATACCTTGCCAACTAACTTGCGCTACAGAGTCATCATTGACTCTCGGCGTCAGCAGTGACTGCTGCCCTACCATAGTTGAGGTTGGACTTAGGATCTAAAAGAGCCATAAAATTCTCGTCAAAGCACCGCGCTAGACAACGACGTTAGTTGAAGCAGATACCCGTTGTGCGCAGTTGCCATGGTGCACCTGAATAGAATCGGTAGGCACCCAGAACAAACTCTAGCGCAGAGTCACGGGAACATATCTGCGGCCACGTCAGAACTGGCCACCTCAGCAGCCCACCTTGGCGCAACCCTGTTCTCCTATTCAATCTTTTCGATCCCACTTCAGCATCTGACTCTGCCGCCCAGAAGCCATCGAAACCAGAGAGCCAATGCTGATATGCAGTGTCTATTGGCGCAGCAACGAGTCTGTGTCTCCATATACAAACTAGCTTACATAACATAGCTGTCACTTATGTATTACACACCGTAGCATTTAAATAACAAGTATCTAGGTGACCGACTTTCGTTCGTTGTTTTAGCTCTAAAACCATGTTTCTTTTGTTAATTTTTTTCGATAAGGTTACTTGTGTTTGAATAATGTTATATAATATATAGCGCACAAAATGTTGAGTTATCCATAGACTAATATCTAATAGCAGGAAAGCCGCCTTATAAAGCTAAACTTATAAAGCAAAACCTGATCGAAATGCGAAATTTTATTCAAATCAATTTAATCGTTCGCGATGTACAATAAATTAAAATATATACATGAGTTCTAGGTATATAATATACATTATACGACAATTAAAAAAGCATCACCGGCGTATGAACTAGTTCATTATCGAATCAATAAAATGTAAGCAATTGTTCTAATCCGTCGATAAGCGCTTGCAAAGGCGTATTGGCGACGCGATGTATTGACAGTTGTCTCAAGATGGCGACAGTGCGGAGCGCGTGCGTTCTTTTCGTTTGTCTATGGTACGTTGTTAAATTATTTTATGCGTGTCATAACAGTATGAAAATATAGGGACAACTTATTTTTGGATCTGTCCTTAAATTATTGACGATAGTTTTTATTATAGGAATCAGACCCTTTAAGAGCCCTTTAAGGAGAATGAAATTAGTATCTATGAATACGGACATACTGCCCAATACGCTGGGTAAATAATGGAGAAGACCTATATATTTTCTTGTTATAGAAGGGGGTGGATTAAGCCCAGAAAATATGCGATAGTGTTTGAATATTTCGTTTTAGTAATGATTGCATTGATGCGAGCGTATACTACGCAATATAACTTAACAATATTACGGATTTTGTTGTGTTCAATTTATACAAATACCTGTGACCATAGAGTGTAACAATCCGATTGGCGTAGTGGATAGTGAACCTATCTCTTGCCAGGAAAATACTGTGTGATGATCATAGTGTTTTTCTAATACCAAAACATATTTATTTTTGATATGTATTAGTTTATAATAATAATAATCCTTTTGGCAACTGTAATAACATTTGAAAAGCCATTTGACAGTTGATTAGTTAACTACTCCGATGATCAGTGTTTCAGAAACCGGGAGTTAGAAAATGCGATGTGATTTAGACTTAGCAGTTAGGATGTTCTTTTAATATCAGTTACTACAGCATTGCCCAATTCCCGTCAGCGCCATCTCCCCGGTTCTCGCGTACGTCGCGGGAGGACAGTATGATTGGGCTGAGCCGAACGCACCGATATACCGTAAGTTTTGAAAAATTATTTCATCACTCAATACTCAGGGGGTAGTTATGGCATGATACAGAAACAAAAGCATCATGTGGTGCTTTTTTTTATTATGTGAAAAGTTGCCGCCGCCCATGGACATCTGCTACATTCGAGGGTTTGCAGATGCGATGACAACCTTTAGAAAATTGGGTTCCGGCTACCTCACTCACCAGACGAAACGCGAAAGTATTATACTTCCACTTGACGCCGGTCTTTTGTGAGGTCGTGGTACTTATCCGGACGAGCCTGTCCATTCGTGCTACACCCGAGGCTATTGCGTGGCCCTACCACAAATAAATCCTCCCGCCCCTTTCCATCATCGGACAACTAGGCGTTCGGCGGGGCTCCCTTATGCTGTTGATGTTCCACGCGCGAGAATGATTTGTTTCGTCATTTAACATCCGTACAGCTAAGGAACGGAACAACCTGCCAGCGTCCGTCTGCCCGATTACAACGTAGGCGTCTTCAAGAGTGAATAAGTTTTCACTGAGCTAACACGCTAACCATTAACGGCTGCATCGCCACTTACCATCAGGTTGGATGGCAGTCAAGCGTTGGCCAGCTTAGATTATAAACAAGTACAGTTTTTAACAAAAAAAAAACCGACTTCAATCAAAAAATTAAAAACATTGTTAATACCTATAGGATTCAATGATGGCCCTCAATTTTTCTGGGATGCCATCATCAGATCCGGGTTTCTTTATGATGGTACCACCCTTGGGACATCTCCTTTCCGATAAAAAAAGAATCATCAAAATCGTCTCATAAACGACGAAGTTATCCGCGAACACACATAAAAAAATATATACGGTCGAATTGAGAAACCTCCTCCTTTTTTGAAGTCGGTTAAAAAAGGAGAGTTATATGTTGAAATACAATTCAAAAATCAACAGGATACGTGAATTTTAAAGGCTTATTTGCAAAACTACGTTCTCTAGATTTCCATGCACAGTGGTAATCACCGAACATCGGGTGAAACTAATCTCTTGCAATTTTCTCATACGGCAATATTTATATGAGCAATATTTATATTTTATACGACCCTGTGTTAGGTGGCCTGAAGCATTTCAAATTCATTAAGATAATTTGCCCACACCTTTACTCCTGAACAAATTTCTTTTTAGTCCACCCAGAGGTTGCCTGGAAGAAAATACTTTTAGTAATAAGGCCGCCAGTTGTACCCATAATTTATGTATGTATATAGCCATATAACCCATAACTTATATGTATGTATATGAGTAAAAAAAATCAAAACTTATAAAAAGTATGTTCTTATAAGTTTAAATTTTTTTTTTTTTAATTTTTGGTGTGCTATAAAGTATATTCATTCATAATTTTTTTTGCGAGAAGGTGGCACGCGAGCTGGCGGTTCACCTGATGTTAAGTGATAACCAACGCCCATGGACATTGGCGACACCCATATTGTTGCAGATGCGTTGCAACCTTTTAATAAAGTGGGCCCCGGCTACCTCACTAACCAGACGAAACGCAGAAGTGTGACACTTCCACTTTACGCCGGTCTTCTGTGAGGTCGTGGTACTTACTTACACGGACGGACCTGCCCATTCGTGCAACAGCCGAAGCGTTGCACGAATGGGCCATTGTTGTTCATTAATTTAAAGGTCAGCTCTCCGCTCCCACGATCCCGGGGTTGCGCGTTTCTAAGAGCCCTTTCACCATCCATCCCTATCTTCAAGGGACCACCTAAAAATATTTAAGTGCTTATTTCGTGTTCATCTCCGCTTAAGCGTCACCTAATGTCTTGCAGTGCTTTTAAAATAAGAGCTCGACTCTTAAATTTTTATAGGCTTAGGGCCGAATACTGAAACGTTACTTAAATATTTAACGCCACCTTAAACATTTGAGCAGCTCGTAAACACTAAATTCGTCAAGTTAAGATGTACGTAAACGCTACTCAGTGAAAATTTCGTATACTGACGGACTACTATGGGATATCGATGGTGAAAACGGGTATTAGTAGTCAGTTAATATCAAGTGATTCTTGGTCGATTGCCGTCTTCTCAGACAAATCTCATTCCAGCCGCTAGTTCTCGGAGTAGGATGACTAGAGAAACGGCCCAGCGACGCCTGGACGCGGTCAGGGTGGTGATGCAAAAGTACTCCGTCGACGCCTACGTGGTGCCAACAGCCGACGCGCACAACGTGAGTCTTTTGTAAAAAATTTTTTTTCGCTTTTAACTCTTTTAAGCTATTGCATAGCTTTTATCGCGGGCTTTGAGCGCGGCGACCGAATCAAGGAATTCCGTAACGAAAATAAAACCAGAGACAGACAAACAGCGGGACGACTTTGTTTTATACTATGTAGTGATGCACAGCAAAGAGACGTTTACATTTCAAGTGACATTTTACCAGTTACTCACATGTTTTGCCTTCCCGGAACCGCTCCACTAACACTTAAACTTTATTGTATGGTATTAAAGTTCAAATTGACTTTTAAGTATTATTACGAATCTGCTGTACGGGAATATAGAAAAGTGTTCAATTACATTCATTTGAACTTATCGCAAAATGTGCGTGATTTATGGGCAACTCATTTATTTTACGCGAGAACATTAATAACTTTCACACACACACAAGTTCGTTTCAAAAGTATACGACGCATTTAGGAATGGCTACCGCATTGTCAACAAGTTCTGTTTTTTAGAAAATGGAATGGCATTTTTTTTTAAAAAGTTTGTTTTTATTTCAAAAAACGATTATACTACAGAGTCTGAACCTCCTGTGTGAATTTGGGCACCTTAAGAAAAGCCACTCTGTATATAGAGATTGACATTTCGATAGATGCAAAATACTTTAAATACGTTTTATATTCGTGTATATTCATCAATATAACAAAAGTAAAAACCAACTTAAAAACGGAAACTAAAAAAAAAACATTTTTAAATCTATAACATTTGAGGAGATTTCCTCCATCAGATCCGGGTTTCCATCAGATCCTGTCATGCCCTTGGGATATCTCCTTTCCAACAAAAAAGAATGATCAAAGTTAACTTCTGGTATGATCAGTGCTTCAGAAACCGGGCGTATTCTTATAGTTTTTGAGTACCACACTGTTAAACGAATAATCGTCGTTTGTCCCAACACAGTCGCAATACATAGCGGCCGCAGACGCCAGGAGGGAGTGGTTGTCTGGTCTCTCCGGGTCTTCGGGGACAGCTCTGGCGACCCCGACGCATGCCCTGGTGTGGACCGATGGCAGATACTTCACCCAGTTCTACCTGGAGGTAGACACGGACGTGTGGAGCCTCATGAGACAGGGCAAGCGAACTGCTTTTTTCTTATGCGAAAAGTTGCCAAGCGAGAAGACGGTTCACCTGATGTTAAATGAATACCGCCGCCCATCGACATCTGCTACACCCGAGGGTTCCAGATGCGTTGACAACCTTTTGAAAATTGGGCTCCGGCCACCTCACTCACCAGACGAAACGCGAAAGTATTATACTTCCACTTTACGCCGGTCTTCTGCGAGGTCGTGGTACTTACCCGGACGAGCCTGCCCATTCGAGCAACAGGCGAGGCTGCTGCGTGGCCCTACCACTGTAAAAAGTGCTTACTTAGTTTTTAGGGTTCCGTACCTTCCTCACAAGGTAAAAAAATTCTGTCTTTGTGTCACCACCGATTTTCTCAGGAAATGGCGGACCTAGCAAAGGCCCAAACAACAGCTTCGGCTGTTGCACGAATGGGCAGACTCGCCCGCGTAAGTACCATGACCTCGCAGTAGACCGGCGTGAAGTGGAAGTGTTCTACCTCTACTTTATTAAAAGGTGACAAGGCATCTGCAACCCCACGGGTGTTGCAAATGTACGTGGGCGGCGGTTATCACTTAATATCAGGTAAACCGCTGACCACCTTCTCACATAAAAAAAGTCTTGCACGTAAGATTTTTTAATAACACCACGATAATGCTTGCGTGTTTCAGGAACCGACTTGTCGATCCAGTCGTGGCTGGTGGCCAACATGGCGCCGGGTTCTGTCGTGGGAATCGATCCAACCACCTACACGCGCACCGCGTGGAATTCCCTAGAGGTGAATTTCAATACATCTCTTATCCTTTAAATGAGCAATTCTTGTATATATATATATATATATATATATCGGAATCTCAGAAACGGCTCCAGCGATTTTCATGAAATTTAGTATGTGCGTAGATTCGGGGGCGAAAAATCAATCTAGCTAGGTTTCATTTTTAGAAAATGTCCTTTTATCCCTGTTTTCAGGGAATGAAAAATATAATTCGAATATGACGGTAAATTTCACCGCAAGAGAAAATGTCATAATAGCTCGGTCGGTAATTGAGCGGCCCCAAAACAGACGGCCGTGGTTCGCGTCACGATCATTTACACATTTATTTTTTTACTTTTTTTTCGATTCCAGATGATTGCTTTCTTTATTTTTAATTTTTTGTCGATTTGCTTTTTGTTATTTTTTTTCCTTTTTTTTTAAAGTTCTTTCTTTTGAGAAAAACATCAGTTAATATTTTCTTATTATTAAGTCGGTAAGATCGAAAAATATTATGCATATTTCATTACTCAGTAATTTGTATCTAAATTAAATTTCCAAAATACACGATTTACCAAAAAAAAAAAACGGTCCTCCGGGTACTTAAATAAAAACCAGGCCAAGTGCGAGTCGGACTGGCGCACAAAGGGTTCCGTACCGTTACCTATAAAAAAGGGGCAAAAAAATCATGTCTTATCTATAAAAAGAGCATGTTTGTTGTATCGGAGCCCCACTTAAATATTTTTTATTCTCTTTTTTAGTATTAGTTGCTATAGCAGCAACAGAAATATATCATGCCCCTGATAGTTAGACAGTTGCTAACTATCAGGGTTCATGAGGTACAGCCTGGTGACAGACGGACGGACGGACAGACAGACAGACAACGGAGTCTTAGTAATAGTCTTAGAAAAGTGTAGTCTTAGACAGGTAAACAATCCTAAAGAGTATAATAAGTTCTACGTATTACATTCACCGTTTTATTATTCTTTTGAATCAATCTGTTCAGCTTATTACGTCTTTCATATTCCAGGGTGCCCTCAGACAAGTCAATGTGGAACTGAGACCGATCTCGGAGAACCTGGTGGATCTGGCCCGCGTCAGCATCAACGACCCGCCACCAGCGAGGCCAAACAACCCACTTTTGGCGCTCACCACGGAATTTACGGGTACGGTGGTTACTACATGCATTTACTAGCTTTTCGCGGCTTCTCTCGCATTGAATCCCTGAAATAAATATCTTGCAACCCTTTACAACACTATTTTACAACACTTTTCCTATTAAACAATGCCAATGACCTTTCTCTGGCTCTAGGCTATCTGTGTACCAAATTTCATTTAAATCGGTTTAGTAGTTTTGGTGTGAAAGCGAGACAGACAGGCAGAGTTACTTTCGCATTTATAATATTAGTATGTATTAGAAAGAGAAGTACGGACGTTACCATAGAGTAACATACTGTAACAGCTGCTACAGCATGATACTCTATGGTAGCAGTTACACAAATTGTTACAATATAGTATGAAATAACAGGCCGTTATTTCGTAACAGGTATTTGTTACGAAAACGCTGCCTGTTAACAGGTTGTTTTTTTCGATTTAACCTAGTATAACTCACTCTTATTCTGTATTTACAGGAAGAAGATCAGCTGACAAGGTAGCCGATCTGATCTCACAGATAACGGCCCGTGGTGCAGAAGCCCTGGTCCTTACTGCGTTGGACGATATTGCTTGTAAGCACCATAGTATTACATAGAATCCAATATCTAATCTATTCAGTCGAAATCGAGAAATTTATTTATTTATCACCAACAAAGTGAACACACCGTAACAGAATAAATAAACAAGGTTTACAGAAGAGTCATGAGTTACCTTAATTATAGGTTAAAACAACTTTTTAACAGATGTAGAGACACAACCAAAAAAATTGTTAAAAATCTAAAGGTGAAATACGAACTGTTGGCGCTGGCAACACTGTATACTGGATATGACGCTATCTACTCGAGCCAAGCGTAAATCAAGGAAAAACGTTAGAACTCCTAGAGAACATAACAATCAAAACAAAAAAAAGAAAACAGTAAAAATAAAAAAAAAACAGGTTACAATAAAAATAAATATATATTGAACGGTGACGATATTAACAATTTACACAAGAAATCAAGCAAATCGAGAAATAATTAATGTTAAATTGTAGTAAATTAGTAAATAGTAAAGTGAAGAACGAAACTCAATGGATGGATTGACGACCTGTGGTAATGCAGGGGAAGATGGATGCAGGTGGCTCAGGATCGTGCTTAGTAGTAGGCTAAGACTATGTTCAGCGGAGGACTGGAAAAAATTGATGATGTTATTATATCTTAATTTACTATATCCGATTCTAGACCGTTACTATTCTACAGAACTGTCTTTGCACATCGTCGAGGAAACAAAAACAGTGTGTGTATACTTAAGGTCTCTTGCCACTACACCGTATCATACAATGACCGTGCTAGGAGCGTATCAGGCGCGAAAAGCAACAAGATACGCTCTACTATGCCCACTGAACGGATCGACGGCGTTCTGTGCCAGTATACATGCCGTATGATTAAACTGACCGTACGTCCCGCTTTGACTGTTCCTTTTTTTGGACAGCTTTCCCTTTGTCCATGAACAAATCTTCGGGACGCAAAATTGTCCCGTTTTCCGAAACCGCGCAAAATTTTAAAACCACGCTCGTCGGACATGATCATGAGCAGCGCGGAACCGCTATCGGTTATCCCCCGCATGCACGGTTACCTAGTAACGCGGTGAGGAGGAGAGGGAAGGGGGCATTTGTTTCTTTTACTAGGCTAGCCACGCACATGTATTCTGACTTCTTTATGTTTTTGTGTAATGTTCGCTAAATAGTTTTGTAGATAATTTGAAGTTTTGTTGTTTTGATTTTTTCCTATAGTTATGCCGAAACCCAAGTGTTCATTTAATGTCAACCTACAAACAAAATATCCATTTATTGAGCAAATTAACATTCCTTCGGATATCGGATGCGAGGTGTCGCACAGTTTAGTGTTTCCCATAGTGGTGCTGGTGATATTGAACAGCTCCAGTTCTGAAAGTGATGCTGATAACAAAGGTCAACATAAAAGAAACGTGCCAAATTTTATTCTTACTTAAAATCGTCACCTTCCTTATTAAAACAAATTTGTTCCTCTGAGAAATATAAAAATATTTAAAAATATACCAAAGTTGTTTTAATAAAAAATAGTGAACTGATGATTTTTTCTTTGTATCTTTTAATTTTTAATCTTATCGGAATAAAGAAAATTAAAAAGTTAAAATGTTTATTTTCACTGTAAATCAATGTCGCGTTTTGAGTTGGAAAAAAAGGTGGTCAGTTTACGTATGATGCCAGTATGCAACCGGTTTGGCAACGTCGCGTGTCATGCACAGAGCGTGTTAGCGGCAAAATATTCCCGCCGACATTTGTTGACGCTCCGTGCATGGCAATGGCGACGGTGTCGGTCGGTGACGGAACGGTCTAGTGGGAACAGTGTCATACTTTTCAATACAAATAATATTTATTTGCCTGACACGTTCCTAGCACGGTCATGGTATGATACGGTGTAGTGTGAAGAGACCTTAAAGCACGTATGAAGTTATACTTCTTTTTTAAAAAAAAACTAAATATTTAATCTCCTGTGGTAGTACTGTTTGTTTGTGAAAAAGACATAAAATGCAATTGATGAACGTTTAATTAACTTGGAATTATAGGTGAATGTCAAAGGGATTCCTATTTGAAATTCCGTTGTGAAACCGGGAAGTTGGTCGCGCCCTTCGCGAATCGAGACGGACTCGCACTTGATCGGTTGTTAAAAATAGCTCATGGAAAGCGTTCGATGACAATGACGCGAGTTTCACGCTTTTTGTTCTTTTTTTTATGTGAAAAGTTGTGCAACGAGCAGTCGTTTCACCTGATGTTAAGTAAATACCGACGCCCATGGACATCTGTTACACCAGAGGGTTACAGATGCGTTGACAACCGTTTGAAGATTGGGCTCCGGCTACCTCTCACCGGAAGAAACGCGAAAGTATTATACTTCCACTTTACGCCGGTCTTCTGCGAGGTCGTGGTCCTTACCCGGAAGAGCCTTCCCATTCGAGCAACAGCCGAGGCGGCTGCGTGGCCCTACCACCGTTGTTCACCCAAAAAGTGCTCAACGCGCCTAAAGAAGTTTTGACTTCAAAAAATTTGAACAAAACAGTTTTATTGTCACGTATTCTAAACCTAGTTAGTCTAAAACGATTGTTTCTTTATATGTGTCAAGTGATATCGTACACCGGTCATAATACCTGTCACGTGTTTGGGGGTTGAAATCTGACCTTCGTAGATACACTGTACCATATTCCTTTTTCAGATACACTCAACCTTCGTGGCTCCGACATACCGTACAATCCGGTGTTTTTCGCGTACTTGGTAATACGATCGGGACTGGTAAGTGTCATACTTTAAAAACCGGCCAAGTGCAAGCTGAACTCGCGCACGAAGGTTTCCGTACCATTATATATCGAAAAAATAAAAAAAATCATGTCTGTTGTATGGGAGCCTCGATAAGATACTTTTTTATTCTGTTTTAAAGTAAGGTAAGGTTTAAACGATGAGAAATTATGCATGGAAAATAGAAAAAGCGACAATTTTATTTTTCCATATAAACTGTTCCTAGCTCTCAAGCATTATATGCGTGCGTTACGAGAATTCTTTTTCTATGTTCAGGTTAACAAAATCCCTACAAATAATTTATACGGCATAACAATGTTTGCCGGATCACCAGCTAGTAAATACTAAAAACAGAATAAAAGAGTATTTAAGCGAGGCTCCCATACAACAGACATGATTTTTTTCCGTTTTTATAGATAATAATACGCCTTCGTGCTCGAGTCCTACTCGCATTTGGCCGGTTTTTTTTACACTATATCAGATGGGATGTCCACAATGTTTAATGTACCTATTTTCAATGTTTTCAAATAATCTTTTCCACTACTGGTCCAATTTTCATAAACATTTATTAAATTAACAATTATTTAATTCCAATTAGTAAATTTTAGAGAAATTCTGTATATTTTTTGCAGAGCGCACCCAACAACGTGCTTCTGTTTTGGGGCAGCGGTGTCTTATCTTCGGAAATCCTTCAGCACCTAAACTCCGAAGGTGTACAAGTGTCTGCCAGGCCTTACGATCAGGTCTTCGACTATCTAAGGAACATGGCGGTGAGTGACGCCGCTATACACAAATAACTTTAGAAGTTTCTTCAAAATCGTTTTCGCTACGTCCACAGTCGATATTGTAACAAATAAATTGATGTAAATGTAAATAAGGCTATAACTATATCTAATATGGCTGCTTCTATATCTACGTATTGCTATAAAGATGCGGAAGTCCTGGGAAAATTATTATTGGAGGGGCCCAAAATTTTCATCATTATAGTCAGTGAAATAGTTCTCACGGAGTAAACGGCGAACGTAAATGTTCAAATTAGCCATTTTGTTGTTGTTAACATTTTACATTTAATAACGCTAACTTTGGGGGAAATAACCACGATAGTTATACAGTTTTTGAAGTCAAAGTAATAAAATGGCGGACTTTCTTAGTGAAAATAATAAGTTTTGAAAATTTTTATATTTTTTTTTCTCCAAACCTATATCTAAGCGACCGAAGAATTCTGCTTGTTGTTTAATTCGTAAGTGATTTTTCTCTATCGTTAAATTTTTTTGTTAATTGCAATATCAACTACGAAATTTGCTGAACATTTACCAAAAAAAAGTATTAATATTAAGTAATAAATACGCTACATTTTCATTTTTTTTAAATTATTATTATTATCACGGCGTCGGTGAACTAATATTAATTAGCCCGACCTTAAATATCATCTTCATTTTAAAATACTGTTTTTTTTTTGAAAATTGCGTTTTCGCCTACTGACATATTGAATTTTAATATATAGTTACCAATGCATTCGAAGAAGCAATAACCATAGGACTTAAAGGGAGAGAGAGACAGAAATAATGAATATTGACATAAAACATTCTTAAACTTTTCACAGGATGAATTACCGCGGGGCAGTACGATATGGCTGTCTCAAGACGGCAGCCACGCTGTGCATCTTGCTGCGGAGGCGGTGAGCATGTTTATCTTATCCTTTAATCGAGCAGTTCTTGTATATATATATATATATATAAATATATATATATATATATATATATATATATGTTATAATAGCTCGGTCGGCAATCGGGCGGCCCCAAAACAGACGGCCGACACACTTATTTTTTTTACTTTTTTTTCTATACCACATCATTTTCTTTATTTTTTATTTTTTTTTATTTCCAAAATACATGATTTACCAAAAAAAACCGAGCAAAGCTCGGTCCTCCAGGTGCTTATTATTAATTGCTTATATGTGTTTTGTTTCTTTTTCTTTAAAAACATTGCCCTTACTTTAGGATAGCATTATCCTGTATTGTAAGGGCGTTTTACAAACATAAATTGCACGCGGACAAACACCCAGATGCGAAACAGCTATCCGCGGGTCACACAAATAGTTGTCCCGTGTGGGAATCGAACCCACGACCCCCGACGCCGATGCCAACCTTGCCAACCTTGGCAAATACGCCACGAAGTCATCATAATATATAAAATTAAAGTATTGTAACCTATGTATGTCTCACAGCTGGGCAATGCTTCTACAGAGGGTATTATATGCAACCTCACTGCGGATTGGCGGACTTCACATATCTTCGACATACTTTTTTGTGATATTTATTTTTTTAATATTTTGTTTTCTTCAGATGAAAACAGAAAGAAACGTGTTTGTGTAGCACGTAAGAAGTTAAAATTCTTTGCTGCGACAATCGATGTGAATAAAAAGTATTATCGAAATGTATGTACGTATGTAACTTCCGAATAACTGCACCAAATCGGATAATTCTTATTGTTAGGCAGGATTTTTATAAAAGAAAATGTTTATAAATCCTGCGGGAAAGTTTGACTTGTTTAACTTAGACAGAAGATAGTTTGGGAGATCTTTTAAAATTAATATTCAATTGCCGTTTTTTTTCTTTTGATTTGATGTATTTAGAGGTTTATCGTTCAGGTATTAATTGTTATTGATAAGGAAATGCGGTAGCATTCCAGCCCGTAGTGTAGGGTCAAAATATCGATCGGAAAAAACACACAATTTTCATGACAATGCGACTGAAGAAGACCGTAGGTAGCGTTTGGAGGCAAACAGAATGCGTAAAAATTAATATGAATATCTCTAGCAAGATCTACCACGGCTCGGGAACATTTTGTCTCATTTTTTCATTTAGTTACACCATCCTTGCGAAGCCAGAGAGAACAGAATACTAAGACGTGTCAAAGGACATTGTTAATGTTAGATTATTAGTAAAGCAACGGGGGCTTGTACAGGCTGTTACTTTACTTTTTTACGTTTAATTATTACTCGTTTAATTAATAATTAATTTAATTACTCGAATTTAATTGCTACTCGTTTTTGATGCCAGTAGAAAATTAATTCGACATATTAAACTTGTAACGGTATTTATACTGGTAATTTTTCCCACTTTCTGTTACAGAACGGTACGATGGCAACACTGTCCACCGTTTCCCCGGTCGCCCTCATGAAATGCGTGAAGAATGAAGTAGAGCTTCGGGTAATTTGAAGTCCATACACTCACACGTACATGAACGCACACACTCATTTTGATAAATAGCACCATCAATGTTATTATATACAAATGCGAGGTAGATATGTCACTAGCGATCTTAGATTGCAATTCTATATAATGCTGTCTCTTTCCGTATCAAATATATGTTATATATCATCTGTCACATTCACTTTATTATGTCATAATGTAAAGCGGACCAATTTTTTATTTATTCAATTTATACTACGCGGTATGGACATGCGTCATCTACATTATTAAATATCATTGCCCTGATTATTGCGTTGTCATTATGGACTTCTTCAATTGCTTTGAGTTTATCGAACCACAGCTTCGAGTTTGTCATTAATTTACGTAAAAAAGAACTAAAACATTTTCATTAACAAAAACCGACGTCAAATATCCCACTCACTACTTATAAATTTTTTATTTGATTTTTTGAAATACTCTGAATCTCCGGAGACCAAAATCAAATACTAATATAATAAATAGGGGATAACATATACTGATATAATAAATAAATAGGAGACGAGATGAGTGCTAAACAAAATCGAATGCAAAAGTATTTTAAAAATCTGTTCATGAATTTACACTCATGATTTTTTCAAACGTCCCGAGGGTACCTATAACTTGTGAGTCAGTCACGCGCATTAATACGTACGTTTAAAATATGTTTATAATACGACAACAGGGCTTAAAAAAATATCGATATCGATATTTTCTTTGTATATCGAGGCCGATAATTACATTTTTTCACTTTCGGCATCCTTATCTATATTATTTCTGTGTATACTGAAATTATTCTCGGAAGGGGGGGGGGGGGGGGGAGTAAATTCTAAAATGAAACACGGCGTGTAGTGTGACCTTGACTCGCCGTTGCCAGGCAACGAACGAAGTCCTCGCACGCCGCGTCGGCCGCCCGGCTCGTCTTACCAGCCGCCAGCTATTATTCTTTTATTTTGGCTATAAGATAATATTTTAAAAATTCTTGTCAATTTTAAGATTCTTTGTAGGCACCTAAAAAAAAGTGGTTAAGCTTAAACCTCATCACGTATTATTAAGGGGGGGTTTAAAAATGGTAAAACAAAACGGCCCCTATTTAATTATACTCTGTTCGTAAAAAAAATTTATGAACTATTTACGATATTTGTTACAAATAAAAATGTTGCTATTGCTTATTTATACACTTAAGATTAAACATTAAAATTTGTAGAAAAAAAGTACGAAAAGTCTTTCGCCGCTGTGGGAATTAAACCCACGTCTTCGTATTCGCACCATGACATTTTTTTATATTTGTTACATTTAATAATTTATACTCCTCGCATATATCATTATTTATTCACAACTTGCAACTTTCATCGTGTTTACCTTCTATAGGGCCATCTCGGACTCTCGTAATTACATCACATACATATATGTTATAGCGTTCGCCAATATTCGACCGGAGCGAACTGTTAATGTTTCGCTCGTTGTCAGGGTTTCCGCTCAGCCCACGTCAAGGATGGCATCGCGGTGGTAAGGTTCCTCCGTTGGGTGCACGAGATGGTCGACTCTGGAGCCAGGGTCACGGAGATCAACGTCTCCGACAAGCTCGAGGAGTTGAGAGGGTTTGTGCCCCATTCTTCTACAGCCAGGCGTGGTCTTGTTATGTTTCCAGAGGGTGTGGGTTCGATCCCCACTACTAGAAAAATATGTCTGGTATCTTGCATCATGAAGCAAGATGCAAGCACGATGAAGTTGACTGCGTAGGAACGATGAAATGACGAAGCGAATCTCTTGCCACCAGTAAGATGGGATAACCCGTATAGATTCTGGCATAGTAAAACTCCCTAGATGACCTTCAATACCTTCAAAAGGGATCTCCTAAGGAGAACGCAGAGAAGATTACTAGTGGACGCCGAGTGGTCGAAATTCGACCATAATCAATTTAAATTATAAGTTTGAACAATATTAATCTATTCTCAAATACTATACACAACAAATAAAAGAGTATATGTATATGCGTGTGTGTGTCAAATACATGGCAGTGTGTGTAATGTTTTCTCTATTGATTTAATGTATTTTTATGCATAATTTTTAAAAAAACATTAGCATTCTGGGCTCCTTCTCTATATAAACTTAAAGTGTGGGAAAGCTCATACTTCTCCGTTCGCGCAATTTTCGTAAAAAGGGGCACAAAGTTTTTGCTACACTTATATACAGGGAGGCTTTTCTAAGTATATACATTTTTTTAATTAAATTCTAGACATTAATAATGTTATATAAAAATGATAAATATTTAAAATCACTCGTAATTAATTAAATACATTCATTTGAAATTATCTCAAAAAAGTGCGTGATGTATACACAACTCGTTTATTTTACGCGCGATCATTCATAACTAACACGCACACAAGTTTCTTTTCAAAAGTATACGATGCATTTATGAATGACTACCGCATTGTCAACAAGTTCTGTTTTTTAGGGAATGGAATGGCAATTTTTTTGACAAAAAAAAGTTTGTTTTTATTTTAATAAACGATTATACCCAGTCTGAATATCCTGTGTGAATTTGGGCACCTTTATAAAAGCCACCCTGTATACATTAGAGCAGCCATTGGTGGCCACAGGGTGAGCAACCTTTTTAATCAATGGGCCAATTTAAATTTCAAATTTTTTTGGCGGGCCGCACATAAAAATTTACGAAAATTTATTGATAATAAATATTAGAATAAAATAAAAATAAAATAAAAAAAAAAAGTAAAGTCTTGTATACGTTGTAGACGTTGTATATGAACAAATTTTAATGCAAGGTAAAAAGAAACAAGAAAAGAACAAAAAAACGAACAAAAAATGTTTCGGTTCAGTATGTACTACCATTTTATTATAATTAATTTTATAACGAATTCGATAAAATAAATTCAACTTTAGAAATGCTTGGCGGGCGGCATAAACATGTCTAAGGGGCCGCAAGCGGCCCGCGGGCCGCGCTGCTCATCTGTGGATTAGAGGGTAGGAATCAGATTGTGAAAATCTTATACCCTTCGTCCAGTGAGGAGCGATATTTCATGGGCCCATCGTTCGCGACCATCGCTGGCGCTGGCGAGAACGGCGCAATCATCCACTACAAGCCCTCGCGGGAGGGCGAGCAGAGGGTCATCAGGAAGGAAGACATGCTGCTTGTCGACTCCGGCGCTCAATATATGTATATCTGTTCTGTTTCTAACATATTAGTGCTTTGACCAACCAAAGATCCCCACGAGCTAATTAATTCTTTATAAAAAAAATACTTTTTAGGTCCCCATGCCCAAAGGTTTGCCTTTTTCTTTTTCAAGTTTTTTAAACGTTGCCCTCACTTTAGGATAACACTCTCCTGTGTTGCAAGGTCGATTTACATACATAAATTTCACGTGGACAAACACCCAGATGCGAAACAACTATCCCCTTTCGGCATGGAACCCTAAAAAGTATTTTTACGGAAACCTATTACTAAGACTCCGCTGTCTGCCTGCCTCTCTCTCTGTCTGTCTGTCCGTCCATCACCAGGCAGTATCTAATGAACCGTGGCAGGTAGACAGTTGAAATTTTCACAGATGATGTATTTCTGTTGCCGCTATACAAACAAATACTAAAAAAAATAAGTAAAAAATTTTTTTATGTTAAACGGTTTTATTGAAAATAAAGATTAAAATGATGTAGACAATGTAATGGCGTTAACATTTAGGGGTTGACTTGATAGATAGACTTGTTACGGTGGTAGAGCCACGCAGTAGCCTCGGCTGTTGCACGAATGGGCAGGCTCGTCCGGGTAAGTACCACGACCTCACAGAAGACCGGCGTCAAGTGGAAGTATAATACTTTCGCGTTTCGTCTGGTGAGTGAGGTAGCCGGAGCCCAATTTCCAAAAAGGTTGTCAACGCATCTGCAAACCCTCGGGTGTTGCAGATGTCCATGAGCGGCGGTATTCACTTAACATCAGGTGAACCGTCTGCTCGTTTGGCAACGTTTCACATTAAAAAAAAATCACACGCCCAATCGATAATTTTTTTTTGTAAAAAGTCTGCAAATGGTCCGGAAAAATATTCATTACGCCAAACTCCAAAACTATCCATCAGGGACGGCACGACTGATATAACCAGGACCAGGCACATGAGCTCGTCTCCCACTCCTGAGCAACGGCTGGCTTTCACGAGGGTGCTGAAAGGTCAGATCCTGCTGGGCACAGCGGTGTTCCCTAGAGGGTCCACGGTAAGTGTGTTATGTTGTATCGTATTTTTTGTAGAAGGGGTTTTAGTAGTAAGTCCCGATGAGCACCGTGACCTAGAAAGATCTATTGTAGTATTCGTCTGCCAGGAATTTTAAAAAAAATTCTGAAATAAAAGCAGCCAAGTTACTCCTTATTACATCAGCTATCTGCCAGTGGGAGCCCCGTCTAAATCGGTTCAGACATTTCGGAGATTAGCCGGAACAAACAGACAGACAGACAAAATTAAAAAAAAGTGTGTGCGTGTAACCTTTACGCGCGATTGAAGTAAAACTTCTTTGGCGTTGACGGCATATATCACTGAAATGATTCAATATTTAGTAACGTCATAAGTATATGTCATATTTTTAAAATACGTTACTTCCGTCAGAAAAAGCGTTAATTCCACAGAGTACTTTTGTATATAGGGAAAAAATAAAATAAAATATAATAATAAATAAAATAAATAAAAATAATATAAAATAAATAAAATAAAATATAATATAATAATAAAGTAGGGTTAATTCCGTCAGAAAAAATCTGAGTTACTCCCTAGTCGCGCCTAAAGAAGTTTTACTTCAAAAAAATCTTGTTTTGGTAGAACGTAGATGCGTCCAATATGCATTTAGTAAAAAGCGTTTATTTTAATATTACAAACAGACACTCCATTTTGTCTGTATAGAAACAAGGTAATTAAAACAAGTATAATTTTGAACAAAAAAAACCGACTTCAATCAGAAAATTAAAAACGTTGTTAATAAATATAACATTCAGTGATTGCCCTCGATTTCTCTGGGATCCCATCGTCAGATCCGGGTTTTCTTACCATGGTACCAACCTTGGGATATCACCTTTCCGACAAAAAAAGAATCATCAAAATCGGCCCATAAACGACGAAGTTATCCGCGAACACACATAAAAAAAATAAAAATATATACGGTCGAATTGAGAAACCTCCTCCTTTTTTGAAGTCGGTTAAAGAACGATAAGACCGCAGAGTTTAATGAAACGTTGGTAGGTCGACGTTCAGTAAGAGCTTGAAATAGGACTATATTGAATAGGTAAATTTTGACTTTGTCTGGTCTATCAAGTTTAGCCGCACCGATGGAATTACATGACTCCGCGGCGCAGTCGCCAAGGTATTGGCTTCGGTGTCGGTGGTCGTGGGTTCGATTCCCAGGCGGGACAACTATTTGTGTGACCCACAGACAGTTGTTTCGCATCTATTCATATTGGCGTGGGGAGTAGTGCATCTGCCTCATGCGCCAGGAGGTGTGGGTTCGATCCCCGCTACTGGGATATTGTGTGGTGAACATAGTGTTTTCCAGTGTCTGGGTGTTTATCTAATATATAAAATCATAACAGGCAATTTGGATCACACCGGCGCTCTGCGATTCGAAAATGAAATAAAAAATTTACAGGAAAATGATAAGGAACTTTCTATCTAATATACAGTGTGTCGTTACCACCGCGACAATAAATGAACACATTTCTAACGCTACTTGCCAATTATCATAAAAAAATATTAACGTTAAAAAATCTATAATTAAAGAAAAATATTTTTCAAAACAAACTAATTAAGTAAAAAAGAAACAAAATTTTAACATCCTATACAACTACAACTGACAGATTCATACATTCAGAGACTTTTTCATTCGTTGCCACAGCGTCGCATTACAAGCCTCTCCTTCTAACGGTATGTTTTGTCTCTTTTAAATTCATTCAACCCACTCATATGCTTTATGACCTTTGCAAATGAACTTTACGTTACAGTTTTATACGTAAGGCTGTTTTAAAATTCTTTGTTTTGGAAAATTTAATAACTCTGTAAATATTGATGTTTAAAGAATGTAAATCTTTAATACAATTTTAAAAAGTTATCCTCTATATGTGTCTTCATTTATTGTCGCGATTGTTAAGACACGCTGTATAAAATTTGTCACATTTGACGCTGTGTCACGGTGTTTGTAATTGAATTCCTCCGAAAAGGCTCGACCGATTTTCGTGAAATTTGTGTGCATATCGGTCAGGGTGCAGAATCGGACAACATGTATTTTTCATCCCCTTAAATGTAAAAAATAATTAGGGGTGGACCACACCCACTATATATTATTTGTTTTCTCATCAGGTTGGGTTTATAGATAAACATATAGTTATATATTGCATATATAAAATAAATATGAATAAAAAATAATACTTAATAAATAAATAAATAATTTAGTTATTATTATTTTTTTATTATCTGGGTGTTTGTCCATGTGAAATTTATTTGTGAAAAATGTTTTTACAACATAATTTTAAAGTTAAAGCCCTAAGGTAATGGAAATTTAAACAAAAAAAAAAAGAAAAGAAGTATAAAGTTGTCAGCGTCTCTCAAGGCAGACTTTCTCGTCTGTGAAGGGCAATTTGCTGGAGACTTTGGCGCGCAAGGCGCTCTGGGATGTGGGGCTGAACTACGCCCACGGGACTGGGCACGGCGTGGGCCATTTCCTCAACGTGCACGAGGGCCCCTCTGGAATAGGGGCCGCCTTGATGGCTTCGGACCCTGGAATTGTTCCCGGCATGATCTTCAGCGACGGTGAGTTGGTCCGGTCTCTCTCATTGGTGATACGATGATTCATACATGTGTACTGTGGTAGGGCCACGCCGTGCAGCAGTGAGTTAGCCGGAGCCCAATTTCCAGAAGGTCGTCAACGCATCTGCAACCCTCCGGTGTAGCAGATGTCAATGGGCGGCGGTATTCACTTAACATCAGGTGAACCGCCTGCTCGCTTGGCAAATTTTCACATAGAAAACATTCATACGTATATAATATATCGCGTTGTTGCTTGTGACGGCTGGGTTTTTTACGAGATCCCGAACAATTCCCTTCAAGTCACATAAATACTTGTCCTGTGGGAAGCGAACCCAGTGTTGATCTAGTATTTGTATAATTATGTATTACTACTGGTTTTTTTCTCACTCAAGAAGGAACGTGAAATAAAAATGAAAAATAAAAATCATCTGGACTCGAAAAAAACATCCAGGGCGCCACCCGAATGCATACAAAAAAATTCATTCAAATCTGTCCAAAAGGACATTTTCTAAAAATGAAACCTAGCTAGATCGATTTTTCGCCCCCGAATTTACGCACATAAATTTCATGAAAATCGCTGGAGCCGCTTCCGAGATTCCGATTATATATATATACACAAGAATTGCTCGTTTAAAGGATAAGATATATAAAGATAAAGCTTGTATTGGGCACTAGATAACTGATGAACATAATTATGTACATTGTGCGAAAATATGCACTGAAATATTTATTCTTTTATTCAAAAGAAATTAACTATCTAACCCCAAATGGCAGATGTTAAGTTGTCACTGTGTAAGTCACTTCATTAAGTTGTCACTGTGGTAAATAACAATTATCAAAAAATAAAGTGTGTCTGTACTTATGTACGCACGTAAGAAGTTATACTTCTTTAGAGTAACATAGGAAGGAACTATAGGTAAATGTTAAAAAGTTGTTATTGGCTGGTCCTGTTATTGGCTACGATGGGAAAGACAATGACAAAAGACATGATAAAGTTGGTTGTACGTGCGCATCGTAAAAATTTAACTCTCATACTTTTTTCCAAACGCGGCAAAAGAAGTATGATTTCAAAATGCTTACTCGATGCCGTTGGTGGCTGATGCAGTTTTTTTCACGCGGTTCCATCTCGACTCACCCTGGATAGAATAAAATCAAATCAAATCATTTATTCATCGAAGTACATTTCATCTATCGATAGTCATTTTTTTTAAATCTACCACCGCTTCGTAATGAGGTTCCTCTAACGGAGGAAAGAAACTCCGTAGGTATCCCCTTTTTTTATCATTTTTATTCTCAAACAATTACGTTGTTATACGGTATATAACTTTTTTTTTTGTAAAAACAGCCAAGGAGCGATCAGCTCATTCCAAGGAGTGATATACGTATAGAATATACAGGTCCCTGGTAATGGTAACACTCGCCTTAACTGCTCCCCGTCTGCTACAGAGCCCGGGTACTACGAGGTGGGCGAATACGGCATCAGGCACGAGGACCTGGTCGAGGTGATCGAGATGAACAGAAACGCCGACCACATATCCGTAAGTGCGACGCGGTTCCGAAGTCGGAATTTAGTCTAGATTGTTCTGTAAAGTGTTCGTGTTTTGACTCTTAGTCAATAATAAATCAATGAGATCTTAAAAAATTTCTTCACTTGACTTCAGTAGGATAGACGACAGTTACTTCATTATAAGTTTTCAGGGCTCCCTGAACCCATACTAAAAATACAAAAGAAATGTAAGTGCTCGGCTCCCATACAACAGACATGATGTTTGCCGTTTTTATAGTTAACGGTACGGAACCCTTCATGCGCGCGTCTGACTCGTACTTGGACGGTTTTTTACATTTGCATGTCATTATTTATTTAATGTTATATTTATTTGTTTCTCCATGCGTACCTATTATTACCATTTGCTTTGTCCAGCAAAGTTCTATTTTTTTTTAAATAATCATAGGAATCCGAACCCTTTATATCTCTATTATGCATCTGTGCTTATGGCAACCCTAAGTAGTATACATATAAACATACAGGCTGTTACTTTATTTCGCTTTACAGGCGGAGGGTATGGTGGGCGACTTCAACGGTGTGGGTGCCGTGGCCTTCTACACCATATCACTGGCCCCGCACCAGACGGCGTGCTTGGATGTCAGCTTATTGGATGACCACGAGGTACCAAAACTACACTGCTGGTTGACGTCATCGACACTAATGAATACCAATGATATTATATAGAAATAAGAGGTAGCTATCGGCAGCAGCCCATCGAAACTGAGGCACTCAAATTACGCCGATCGGTGTAATTAGATTGCAATTCTATAAATGCTATCTCTCCCCGTATATTGAGTTCTATAACATCTGTCAGATTCACTTAGATATGTCATGTATGATATGAAAAGAGAGAGCATGTCTATAGAATCGCTTTTTCAAAGCTGGATGCAATGAACCATTAATGCATACAAGAAAACTGAAAGTCGAGCCCTCAATCTATATTTTTATTTTATTTTAAATGTTTGACTTCAGGTCACAAAGAGACGTCATGTATTACAAATACAACAGTGCCAATCGCGTGACCTCTAGTTTTCTAGAAACCGCCCAACATCCCCTAGGCAACCAAACGCGTTGCCACCATTCAATAAAATGGGCTAATACCACAATAGAGGCGTATATAGACCTTTAATAGGCCTTTTATTTATGAAGACTCATAGTACAAGCTTCGCTCAGTTTGGTACTAGATACTTTGTGTAAATGTGTGCAGAAATCTTCACTACATAGTATAAAACAAAGTCCCCTGTCCCTATGTATGCTTAGACCTTTAAAACTACGCAACGGATCTTGATGCGGTTTTTTTTACTAGATAGAGTGATTCAAGAGGGTTTATATGTATAATACATTGTACCCGTGCGAAGCCGGGGCGGCTGGCTAGTTATACAGCGTGTCGTTACCAACGCGACAATAAATGAACACACATATAGAGGATAAATTTTTAAAATTGTATTAAACATTTACATTCTTCAACCATCAATATTTAAATCAACTCAGTTATCTTTTCAAATTTAAATTTTCCAAAACAAACAATTTTAGAACACCCTTACGTATAAAACTGTAACGTAAAGTTCATTTGTAAAGGTCACAAAGCATATGAATGGGTTGAATGAATTTAAAAGAGACAAAACATACTGTTAGAAGGAGAGGCTTGTAATGCGACGCTGTGGCGCGACTTGTATAGGATGTTAAAATTTTGTTTCTTTTTTACTTAATTAGTTTGTTTGAAAAATATTTTTTTTAATTATGGATTTTGTTTAACGTTACTATTTTTTGTGATTATTGGCAAGTAGTGTTAGACGTGTGTTCATTTATTGTCGCGATGGTAACGACACGCTGTATAATTCTTCTGTACGTGTGAAATGTCACTGAAATTTTCATTTCATTCTTTCAACAAAATTTTTGTGTGTCTTCAAGTCGATTTGAGAATGGTTTAGATTCACAATTCGTTTACTGTTCGTTATTTTTTTATTTAAAAGTTGTTGTCAAATTAAAGTCGCGTGTACAGGACAACGTCTGTTGGGTCCGCTTGTACATTTATATATTTTCAGATCAAATACCTGAACGATTACCACGCCCGTGTACTGGCGACCCTCGGTCCGATCTTGCTGCAACGGAACCTGACTGAAGACTACGCGTTTTTGGAGAAAGAATGCGCGCCTATTTATCGGAGCGCCGCCATATTGGCCAAATCGACGCCTCTATTGGCGCTTATGGCTGTTTTTAGTCTGTGGTTCGCGAAGTAAACTGTCCGTTTTGTTTTTTAATGTGATTAAAAGGATATTAACTATTAACATCTATACCGATGCGATGTACTTCTATGGCTTTATTCTAATACATGGCTGTATATAAAGTTCTGTAAATATTATTTTGTATTAAAAATATGAAAATAATTAAGATTATTTTTTAATTTTGAAGTTATTAAAGTTATGCTTCTGGCGCGTTTGGGAAATATGGTGATAGTGGATTTTTACAATGAGCGAGACATAAAGGGGCCCATTCATTATCCTGCATGGCAGTCCGCCGCTTTATGCAGGATTTTGAATGGTGTCGCAGGCCTGCACATTGTCATATGAAGACTAAAAAGATGAACTAAGACCTTATCAAAATTCATCAAGTAAATTCAATTTCTCCGATCATTATTTTTTTTTTTATTTCGTCATCATATAACGTCTCCATCACCACCTTTGCGTACACCAACACCAAAGCAATTATATCCGATTGTCAGCTACTCCTCAAAACCCATCAAAACTCCATACATCATCACATCTCAACAAACTCTACATTTTACACCAAGTCCGAATTCAAAGTCAAAATTAGTAAAGTTTCATCAAGTAAATCCCAATTTTCCAATCATTATGACTTCTACAGCTGCATAGCTTCTTGTTGGTACAAGAACATCAAATCTCTCATTCACACAAGTATCTGAAGACATACAAACTCCACTCCCCTATCTGCCACAGCTAGTATCGCGAGCAATCCAGTTCCGCGGTCAATTGGAAAGTAAGGCCAAATTGGTCTCAAAGAAGCTTGGTGTGCTCAGCAAGGCGAGATAGTACTTCACGTCGGCTCAACGCCTAAACCTTTATAAGGCGCAAATTCGGCCCCACAATGCTGCTCCCACCTCTGGGCGGGCCAGTTCTTCCATTTGATCGCTTGTTACCAGCTTCTTCCATTTGATCGCATCCAACGTAGGGCAGCTAGGGTTATCGACGATCAAGGTCTTTCCGATTGGCTTGATCCTTTGGCTGTGTGTAGAGATGTTGGATCACTCTGCATCTTCTACCGCATTTATCACGGGGATTGTTCCGAGGAATTGTTTGGATTGATCCCGGCAGCCGAAAAAAAATAACAAAAATTTCATCCACACCACCTCGATGTCCAGCGTTCCACAACAGCGCGATTTTCAAGGCATTTCCTGCCTCGCACAACCACTCTGTGGAACCAGCTGCCGCCGGCGATCTTTCCGAACCGTTACGACCTGGGAACCTTCAATAAGAGAGCGTATGAATGAATGAATGAATAAAATATACTTTATTGTACACAAACAACGGATATTGCATAATCAACAAAAAATAACACGAAACTGTACAATAGGCGGCCTTATCGCTAAAAAGCGATTTCTTCCAGGCAACCTAGTAAAAGGAGATAGTAAAAACAGTAGCATCGGATAACGGTGTACACTGAATTCATAACAGAAACTAATAAGTTAAAATATAAATACATATTAATAAATTATCTATTATATAAAGAGGAAAGATTTGATTGTTTGTATGTATTGAATAGGCTCCGAAACTACTAAAACGATTTGAAAAATTCTTTCACTGTTGAGAAGCTACATTATCCCTGCTTGACATAGACTATATTATATTTTTTTTTAAATTAGGGATCCTTACTAAAACTCCAATAATGTTACTCAAGGTGTACAAAAATTACCTAGAACAGTGATTCTCAACCACTGTGCCGCGGCACTTTTGTGTGCCGCCAAATTTCAAAAGTGTGCCGCCAAATTTTGCTAATATATAATAATGTTAATATTATTAAATTATATCATTTAAAAAGAAAAATATTTTTTGGCACTAGCCAACATTAAAACTAAAAAAAGATCAAGATTGGTAAATGTAGAAGACGATATGAGAGTATCATTGTCATTTTTACGACCAAATATAAATTAAATTATCAAAAAACATCAAGCTCAAATTTCGCATTGAAAATATTTTTATTATTAATTTTGTAATTAATCCCTTAATAAACGTTTAGTTATTATTGTAGTATATATTAGTTTATTTCGTATATTTAAAATTTTTGTCATAAACTATTTATGCAGTGTGTTGTAGTAAGTAAATAATTTTTATTTTTTTTTTGTGTGCCGCCAAATTTTGAAATCGTTAAATATGTGCCGCAACAAAAAAAAAAGGTTGAGAATCACTGACCTAGAATATTCTTTGCATCGCGTGCGCTGCGAAAACTATTGATGATAGAATAAAATAATGTACTACGAGTTTGCAGACCACATCATTATTTATAAAAAGTGTCGCGACAGCATATGTCTAAATATTATAGTTATGCCACAATAAGTGTTCTTTTATTTAAAATTTTTTTTTTATTTTTTACATTACAATTACGGCATCCTAAAAAGGCCCCTGAGATATACTGTTGCACGGTAGACACGGCCAACTTAAAAGGGTCTCTGAGTTACACCGATTGTAAAAATATCCCTTAATAGTCGTAATAGGAGAAGACTAGTCCTCAGGCAGGTACCGTGCATAGCAAAACTGTGACAAGCATGCAATTGTATGCATTTAGGTTGATGGTTAGAGCTACCTGTTTAAATCCATTGCATTATTACTGGGAATTAGTAGGGTTCCGTACCCAAAGGGTAAAACGGCACCCTATTACTAAGACTCCGCTGTCCATCTGTATGTCCGTATGTCTGTCCATATGTCACCAGGCTGTGTCTCATGAATCGTGATAGTTAGACAGTTGAAATTTTCACAAACGATGTATTTCGTTGTCATTTGTTGCCGCTATAAAAAAAATACCAAAACACAAAAAAATATAAACAAGTGGGGCTCCCATAAACCAGACATGATTTTTTTGCCGTTTTTATATATAATGTTAACAGTAGTAGTGTTTTTGACAATATGTAAGTGTAATACTTCTATATTGAATAAATATATTAAAACATGATTTTTTTTAATGTGATAGAGTGGCAAACGAGCTGGCGGTTCACCTGATGTTAAGTAATAGCCGCCGCCCATGGACAATTGCAAATGAGTTGCCATCTATATTATAATGAGGAAAGATTTGATTGTTTGTATGTATTGAATAGGCTCCGAAACTACTGAACCGATTTGAAAAATTCTTTCATTGTTGGGAAGCTACATTATCCCTGCTTGATATAGGCTATATTATTATTATTATTTTCAAAAAAAATAGGGATCCTTACTAAAACTTCAATAATGTAACCCAAAGTGTACAAAAATTACCAAAAATATTCTTTACATCGCGTGCGCTGCGAAAACTATTGATGATAGAATAAAATAATGTACTACGACTTTGCAGAACACATCATTATTTAAAAAAAAGATCACGACAGCATATGTCTAACTATTATGGTTATGCCACAATAAGCGTTCTTTTATTTTAAAATTTTGATTGAAATGGCGCCGCTAGAAAAGGCTCTTTATTTGTAAAATAAATTACTTCATATTTAAGACTGTTTCAATATCTTTATATAACTTTTTGAATTATTAAATTCGGACATTCCATTCGAGAGATATCACAAGTTTAAAAATGTTAGTTTATTGGAATTTAACTATCCAAACAGCTTAGTGACTGACTTAGTAGTTCTTATAATTTTTCAATCACATTTATACTGGTAATTCCTGTTCGATAGTTAGCATATTATTAAATACAAAGGCAGTTTAATTTTTTTATCATTTTAAAGATCTCATCTTTCTAGAAATAGTTTCCAGGCGAGGGCATCAAAAATACGTCGTAATGAGGAATCTACCGGTAACTGAAAATAGTCTTAAAAGTCGGAGAGAGTCAACAGAGTTTGCAGCGGCTTGAAGAGCATATTAATATATATATATATATATATATATTTTTGTGACGTGTAGTTTGCTGTTAGCCCGGCGGCTTTGACAGCTTCGGCGGAAGAGGTCCGCGGGCAGACGACCCACGGACTCGGGAGAACAACGTAGCTGGTGCACGACGACGACAAGAAAACGCCGTCCACTCCGCTGCACTCTGCAACACCCTGCTAACGAAAGATGGACAATCGACTAACTTGGATCGTGTCGTACCCCACGTACGACACGATCCAAGGGCCCCTCGGATGGAGGTTCGAACCTCGGCTTGGATCGCAATCGATATGGGGACCTACCCAGAGGAAGGAATTAGGTTGAAATTGTGATTTAATCCCGAGACGTATTGGCGTTGCGATATCGCTTATGGATGAATAATTATACAAACAATTATTCATTAGAGCAATTTGTTTACGATATTTGTTCATCTTTATTAACATGTGTTAACGGTGTTAACAATGTTAATAAAAACAATGCATTCACGAAAACATCGTCCAAAAAAATAAAGGTTATACAATTAATCACGCAGCAATTACGAGCGCCCATACACTCGTAATTAAATGACAATGACAACACGACGTAATGATTCAAAAACGACTAGGCACACGAGTATATCGCGTGTAGGCCGTGAATCTGGGACCTCGCATTCGCCGTCGATTGCGCTGAGCCATTGTGTGTTATGTGACGGACTGCGCGCGGGAGGATCGCGGCGGGTGGCGCCTCGTTAGGCGTTATGTCGACGCGGCTACGTGGCGCCTCGTTGAGCGCCTCTGACCGTGCTATGCTGTTTAGACATAGCGCTGTTGCGTTTTCGGGCGGCGGCTGATTATTAAATATATTAATCGCGCGCGTGAGTGTGTCGTCTGGATCATCTATAACGTTTAGTGGACGGCGTAGTCTCGGATGCACGGTCCGAGGGGGTGCGGGATAGATCCCAAAAGCTTTCACCAACGGATTTGTATGGGCGTTAATGCTTTTGAAGTGTCTTTTCGACGATTCTTTAAAGAGGGTGGACAGGGATGTTATATTTAAGTCTCGATGCAAATCGGCATTCCGCACTTACCACGGTGCGCCTGTTGCGTGACGAAGGAATTTGTTTTGAATTATTTGTAATGGCTTTAATCTATTAGGAGGTATATGCGCGAAACAAA